CTCACATCCCACAGATGCTGCCATGTTGACTCACCCACCAGTCCTGCTCTGTTGATTCACAACTAAATCTCCAAGGAGAAACAAGCCAAGCCACTAAGATTCATGGCTACATCAGTCTCTCCACTGAAAACTCTGGGCACCTCAGGGGGTATGCGGGCCAAGATCTACCAAAGCCTTGACAGCTACATTTACATCCCACAGCTGCTGACACACCAATGGTCCAATTCCATTGCCTCATAATTAATATATGCAGAGATACCAAACTGCAAAATTTCCAGGTGCACTGGTGTTCAGGCTGAGAATTATGGGGTCTTCTTAGAGTGGGGGCAGACAACTATCCCCAACCCTCCCCAATACTTTGGAAAGACCAAACCCATATTCCACAGCTGCGACATGTCAACTCACCCTGTCTACAGATCCTGAAGATTCTAGACCACCACACAATACCTCCAATTTCCACAATACTGACATCCCAGTAGGAGCACACCAAACTAGTAACATAGAATCCGGCTAAACTCAACAAAGAAAAGCAATAACCAATATGGACATTCCTTCAAAAGCTAGAAATGGAGCTTACATATGACCCCTTAATACCACTTCTGGGAATATATCCCTAAGATGCAAAAAAACACAGTAGAAATGACACCTGCACCTGTATGTTCATTGCAGTGGTGTTCACAATAGCTACAATCTGGAAACAATCTGAGTCCCCGAGAACAGACGATTGGTTAAAGAAACTTTGGTACATCTACACAATGGAATACTACACAGCTGTAAGGAAATAACATTATAAAATTTGCTTACAAGTCGATTGTCATAGAGAGTATCATGCTAAGTGAAATGAGTCAGAAAAAGAGGGACACACATAAAATGACTGCACACATTTGTGGAATATAAAATAACATAATATGAGACTGACTCCCAAGGACAGTAGACACAAGGGTCAAGAATATTGCTCCAGAGTTGGAACCTGTCTCATGAGATGAGGGAGAAAGAAGCTGGAATGCAGAAGTTATCACTAAGTCTATGATGGTTGGAGGGTTCATTCTGGATAGAAGATGTGTGCTGAAACTAGATAAAGGACCAAATGTGATAGCATCTCAGTATCTATATTGTAAACCATAATGCCCAAGAGTAGAAAGAAAGGGGAAATTGTCTGTCATAGAGGCAGGGGGAGGGTTCAAAAGAGGGGTTATACTGGGGACACTGGTGGTGGAAAATGTACATTGGTGGAGGGATAGTATTTGATGATGGTATAACTGAAACTCAAACACGAAAGCTTTGTAACTGTATCTCGCAGTGACTCAATAGAAAAGAATTAAAAAAACACACACACAGAAAAGTCAACTAGCAATAAACGGTAAATCCACAGACAAGGATTTAATGACCATATGGTGAGGTATAACAATTTTCATAAATTTTCTTTTACTAATGTATTATTTTTGTCTTTTTGGGTCACAGTGGGCAGTGTTCATGGGTTGCTCCTGTCTCTGCACTCAGAAATTACTCCTGGCAGTGCTCAGGGGGACCATACGGGATGCCGGGGATTTAATCCAGGCCTTCTGTGTGCAAGGCAAACGCCTTCCCCATTGTACCACCGCTCAGGCCCTGAAGTATTTTTGATAATCCTGTTAGCCAAAGTTGTAATAAGCAATATGAAATAAGTAATTGTGTGCCTGCTAAGGGGGCAGGCTTGCACAGTGATTGGGAATATGGGAAAAATGACAGAGGGAAGGGTACTCTGGAGCTGGGACTGGTGTTGGAACAATAAATGAAAATAAAACTGCACATTATCCTACATTCCTACTTTTGGGAATCTATCCAAAGAAAATAAAATCATTCCCTCAAAAAAACATTCATAATTTTTTGTTTGTTGCAGCATTATGCACAATAGTCAAATCATAGAAACCATGTTAAACGTCCACTGACTGATAAATGGTCACAGAAATTGTGTCATATGTTTATGCAACTCTTAATGGTGTTAGGCTTAATAAGAGATCTCCTTTACGGCAGTGTCCTAATAGTCTATATAGCCTTTGGTGGGTGGTTGGCCTGTTTGTCTAATTATATTCCAGGATATTTGTACACATTTCTCAAAGCATATCCTGGTTAAGTGATGCATGATTTTACAAACACACACACACACACACACACACACACTATACACATACTTACATTGCCCCACAACACTTCCTCACAACTGCCACAGGGTGGTATGATATAAATATCATAATATCAGCTTTTCTAAGGAAAAACTGTCATTTGTGACAACATGAATGCCTGAAAGACATTACTTTGATTTCAAATCCTGGAAAGGGTATTATGTTTTTAAAAATACTATTTAATGATCATGGTTAAAAGACGCCTGTCTTTGAAAACTCTTGAGCTCATTTGCCAACATGGTTTGGTGCAAGCCTCAGGCAACTGCAAGCAAACGTCCGAGCTCACAAAGCAGTGCAGAGAAGCGATCAAGAAAGACCTCAAAGAGAGAAGATTAGCAGTGCTGGCAGATGCGTCAGAAATCTGGAAAAGCATTTGCAATGCATGCCTGTCCTTCACCAACTACAAGACCAAGATGACTGCCCTCTGAAGTCCTGACGTATCTATCACATCTTCCAGAAGGGTAATGGAGAAGATTATCCATGACTTCTACTCGGATCTCTTTGATAGCCACGTCTACCTTCCCACATACCAAATTCCACAGGATGGATATGTCATTCCCAACGTTCTCCCTTCCAAAATCTGACACACCATTTCATTGGTAAAGAAGCAAACAGCACCTGACCCAGACAAGTTCAGATCCAAATACCTGAAGAACCTGCCATCAGTTCTCATCAATACACTGACTCAGCTCTTCACATGCTACCTGTCTGAATGCAAGGTTCAATCTCAATGGAAAACCAGCAGAACTGTACTATTGTACAAGAAGGGAGACATCCACGACATTGGCAACTATCGCCCGATCTGCCTGTTGTCTGCCATCTACAAGCTATTCACTCGAGTCATCCTGAATAGGATTGATAGAACAGTAGATGAAGGACAACCATGCGAGCCAGCCAGGTTCTGAAAAGGATTTAGCACAATCGACCATATCCACATGATAACAAAGCCCATTGAGGTTTCTCGGGAGTTCAAGATGCTGCTCTGTCTAACGTTCATTGATTTAAAGAAGGCCTTTGATTCTGTCGAGACAGAAGTGGTCATCAAAGCCCTAGCCAAACAGGCCGTTCAAACTCAATACATCAGGATTCTCCATGAGCTGTATTATGGATTCACTACCAGAATCTCACCATTCTACAAGGAAGTGATCATCCATGTCAAGAGAGGGGTTTGGCGGGATGATACCATTTCACCGAAACTGTTCAGTGCCACCCTTGAGAACATACTGTGATGACAGGAATGGGAAGAAATGGGAGTGAAGATAGACAGTAGGCAACTACACCACCTCTGCTTTGCTGATGACATCATTCTAATAACACCAAACATTAGACAAGCGGCACAAATGCTGGCTGACTTCGACTGTGAGTGTAGAATGGTCGAACTACAACTGAATCTCAGGAAGACAATGTTAATGAAAAACGGTCTTGTTCCTGACGTACCATTTGTTCTCAATGGAACGAATATCTCCGAGTGCAACAGCTATGTGTAACTAGGTCGAGAAGTCAACATGACGAATGACCTAGCACCTGAGTTATGCAGGAGGAAGAGAGCGGCTTGGAACGCCTTCAAGAACATCGAAGAAATAGCTAAGAGGACGAAGAACCTCTGGCTCCAGGCACATCTCTTCGATTCCTCTGTTCTTTCTGCATTAATATATGCCTCAGCAACCTGGGCCCTACAAAAACAGGATGAGAATGCTATTTGGGTCTCCCAAAGAGGAATCAAAAGAGCTATGCTTGGAGTATCATGTTTCACTCAAGGGAAAAAAAGAATCCAGAGTTCTGACCTCCAATGACAATAAAGAATCAGGGATGCTGTCTCATTTGCCAAGGCATCAAAAATCAGATGGGCTAGACACATAATGCAATTTGGAGATGACCGCTGGACTAGAGCCATTACCAACTGGAATCCACGGGACATCAAAAGATCACGTGGCTGCCTACCTACGAGATGGTCAGACTTCTTTGTCAAGACCCTGAACGATCGGTTTGAGGCTCTTCATGTTCCTGGAGCAAGCAGACGCCACTGGGCTACGCTAACACGAGACACGAGGGATGAATAGAGATGTTGCTGGTGCCCATTCGAGCAAATCAATGAGTTAGGAGATGTCAAGTGATCAAGTGATCAAGTGATGATCATGGTTATAATTACTTCTTGCAGTGCTTCAGATCCAGGTTAGGGACTCACACTTCAATCTCTTCCCCAAACTGGAGACATTATTCTAAGTGAAATACACCAGATAAAGATAGGGACTGTCTGATATTACTTATGTGAGATAAAGGAAGAAAGAAAATAAAGGAGGAAATAAAGAAGGCAAAAAAGGAGGAAAGAAAGAAAAGGAAGGAAGGGAGAAAGCAAAAAAAAATTAGGGAGCTGGTTTAGTTAGTGCAAAAGCCTGGAAAGCATGCTTCCCTTGCTGGGGAAGCCCTTAGCAAAGAGCTGGGGGTATTCCCTGAGAATCACTGTGCGGACCCCAAACCAAACCACAACAATATCAGCAAAATAAAAACAAAGGTCTCCTTGAATTATACGTAGTCCTATTAATTAGTCTTGGTCTCCAGCTTCTGGGGGGCATTAGAATACCAATAAGCAACAGTCCCAGTGTCTCTTGGCCTGTTACTTCAGGTCTGGACTTGTCACTTTGCCTGAACATCTGAGTAAATAAGGCCAGAGGCTGGATGAATGTCATAACTTACTCTCATGGCCCCTTGAATGAATTATGAGCAAACACAGTTACCTAGTTCAACTTCCTCCAGGACAAAATGGGTCCTTTGAGTGATCAGGTGTGCTTAAATAGCACATATATACCAGTTGGATATCAGTTTTAGGGCTTAATTTTATCTTCATGTGATATATTTTAGGTTGATCTGGAGAGTCTGTCTTAGTAGTAGCTACGCAGCCACATCTTCAACACGGGGGTAAAAATCAGAATTGAGCCTGTGACTGATGCAATAAGGAACAGACACAGGAAGATTCGATCAAGAACCTGAGCTACAAATTTCCAGTCTTGCACTACCTGCAAAAGAGAAAACAAAGGCATCTTATTCAAGTACTGAACAACTGTTTTGCAGTCAAACGAATAGCACTGAAGTTTGCAAAATGCTTCTAATATAATCCCTCTTTATTTAGGCTGAGATTCTTCCTGATACATGCTCTCCTAATAAAGACTCAGATGTCTGCTCAAAAACAGAAACCCAGAGGTTGAGTTTATGGGGATATTCTCAACATAAGACAGAAACAAAAGACAGAAACAGCAGAATCATTTCACTTGTAAACATTATTATTCATTTGTAAACATGACTGATAAAAATAGAAAATTTCTGATTTTTTACACAAATGAAAGCTAGTATCTCTTAATTGTTGTTACCTGGTATTACCTAGGAAAATGATTATAGATTTATAAATTATGAATTTTCTTGTCACAGACTTCTGTTCTTCTGTATCCATGAATTTTGATGTTGTAGCTTTGGAATAATGGCCACTGTCAAGGAAACCTGGAGAAAGCAAGAACCCAGTAGGGAAAGCAGAGACGGTTCCTCTGGAGGGAGGGCGGCTTGGGGCTCATGGGCAGCAAGTCCGGAAAGGAAGGTCAGAGCAGGAACAAGCTCCAGCTTCCAGGCTGGAGAAGTCTCCAAGCTTACTGTATTCTTTAAAGAGAATGTAAACAACCTCTTTCTATTCTGGATTTTGTAAAGATGAACTAGAATAGGAGGCTTAAATTCTAGACGTCACATAGGTGTGAATATGTCATGTAGACGTGACATAAGTGTGAATATTTCTAAACTTAAGCTTAGAGGTTTAGAAATGAAATCTGAAGGGGAGAAGGGATGCAAAACAGATGAAAATATCTAATCTATCAACTATAGGTGGTGGGATTATTGAATAATTTATCATATTTTGTGCTTTCTGTGTTTTCCAAGTCTCTTACCCTAATACCACTTTAAAAAGTTAAAGTTATTTAAATTATATTAGCATTAAACAATTTTATAGCAACACAAAAGTTCCTTAAGAATAGTTTGAAATATTCTAAAGCAGCAATATTTTTTTCCCAGGGCTTTACAATTTTTCAGTGAATGAAAGACATTATAAGAGAGGATATGCTAGGTATTGTATAATGTAAAAGGGCAGTTTCAAACATCCTTTTATAAATTTGTCTATGAAATCAGGTTGTTGGCACTAATTTCATTGATTTTAAAATAAAGAGACTGAAGCTTATATATATATTTTTAACCTTCTAAATTGATAGAAATATAACTTGATTTAAGCAATAGACCAGTTTCTTGATGCTAAATGTTTTATGTCAAGTAATGTTTTTATTCCACTGGGGAGGATTATTTAGAAGAATAGAAGCTAAAAAGATGAGAACTGACATTTATTGAATAGTTCTGAATTAGAAATAAGATTCTTTATGCCCATTTCTCTCTAAATACTAAGTATAGAAATATGACATGAATAATGCAAGAAAAATGGCCTAGACCAGAGTAACCAGCTTAAAATGTACAAGTGAATTATTTAAAAAATAATTTAAAGACATAAAATACACTGCTTAATCTACTGTGAATTTCCTTTGTTTGTGTGACTTTTCTAAACTTCTTCCAAAAAATGTACACTGACAGTTCTATTTTATGTCAGGGTTTGTTTTATATTTTAAGAAAGCAAATGCCATATTTTGTGAGTTTAAAAAGAAAAAAAATATAGCAAGGGAACAGCAAAGGGTCAAAGTAAGTAGAACTAAAGATTTTGTCTGTAGAACTGGGTGTAGGTCGTGGAGGGTGGTTAGCAATGAGGGCGTGGGAGGATGGAGGAAGAAGGGTTCTCTGGTGGTCAGTGTGATGATGGGATGATGTATTTACAAGAGTATGAGTAACAATATTGCAAATCCCTGTACTTCAATACGAATAGCTTTTAAAAAGTAATAGCCTTTTTTTGTAAATTGAGGGCAAATGTCAGTCTTTTGCCCTAAGTGGCAGCATCACCAGCAAAGCCACCAGCAAAGCCACTCACCTGGCGGATAAGATGCTCTCTCCTCACATGCTGGGAAATATACCTGATGGAGTCCGCGGCCCTTTCCAGGAAGGCAACCAGGCCTTCCTCCCCGCTGCTGCTCTGCCCATGCTGCTTTCTCCAGAGGGCTGTTCCTCTCCGGACGGGTCTGCCCACAGGGGGGACGCAGTGCTCCCCGCGGCCCTTCATACCCAGCATGCGGGGCAGCATCTGCAGGAACAGCCGCTTCAGCCAAGGGGCCGGCGGACGGTGTGTGGACGAGGAGCGGTGGTGGACGTTGATGACGAAGACGGTGACGAGGATGGACAGCGTGACGAAGACCATGATGAAGAGGAGGTACTCCCCGATGAGCGGGACGACCTTGGACGAGGACGGGATGATCTCCTCGATGACCAGCAGGAAGACGGTGAGCGACACCAGCACAGAGGTGGACAGGGAGAGCTTCTCGCCCTCGTCGGAGGGCAGGTAGAAGACGAGGACGGTGAGGAAGGACAGGCCGAGGCAGGGCACGAGCAGGAAGAGCGTGTAGAAGAGTGGCAGGCGGCGCAGCACCAGAGAGTAGGCCACGAAGGGGTAGTGCAGGGGACCATCAGCGCGCGCGCCCCGTGCCCCGCGTGCCCCCACGATCTCCCACTCGCCGTTGTCGAAGAAGTCCCTCCTGTCCACGCTCTCGCTGACCGGCACGAGGTCCACCTTGGTGCCGTCGTAGGTCCAGGACCCGAACCTCATGGAGCAGTTCTGCCGGTCGAAGGGGAAGAAGGTGACATCCATGGTGCAGGAGCTCCTGTAGCTGGCGGGCGGGTTCCAGACCACCGAGCCATTCCAGCTGACCATCACCTTGGTCATGAGCGAGCCCTCGAAGCGGCCATCGGCGCTGGGGATATGGAGCCCACGGTCAGGTCAGTGCTCCCTGCAGGGAGTGAGTGTGCGCGTGTGCGTGTGTGCACGTGTGCATGAGTGTGTGTGTGCATGTGGGTGCGTGTGTGTGCACTCGTGTGTGTGCGTGTGTGCATGTGTGTGCTCATGTGCGTGTGTGTGCATGTGTACACATGTGTACACATGTGTGCCCGTACATGCGTGTGTGTGTGTGATCGTGTGTGTGCATGTGTGCTGGTAGTGGTGAGGTTTGCTGGCTCTGTTTCTATACTATTTTTGTTTTTATTGTATTGCTTTCCTGATGCACTTTTTATTTATTTTATTTTATTGAATCCCTGTGAGCTACAGTTACAAAACTTCCATGTTTGAGTTTTAATCATACAATGAAGAAACACCCATCCCTCCACCAGTGTACATTTTCCACCACCAATGTCCTGAGTATCTTTTAAAGAAAATTTTACTTAAAGTTTTGTTCTTCTAATTTTCTTGCCAAAACCAGGTTCTACTTGGATCGGTGCACTTTTCTTTTGTGATACTTACTTTTCAAAGAGAACTATGTCAGGAAGCCAAAGAGATTCTGATGGAACTTTGATGGAATGAATGCCACCATATTCTTCAGGATTCCAACGCAATTTGTGGTCTGTCCATTCCTGCACAAAATTAACATACAGACACTGGAACCATCAAGTTTATGTTAATTCACTAATTGGGCATTTTCTAAATTGTTGGGGATTTTTTGTTTGTGTTTTGGGACCCAGATCCAGTGATGCTCAGGCTTTACTACTGGCTCTGTGCTCAGGGACCACTTCTGGCAGGGCTCCTGGGACGACATGTTGTTCCGGTGATCAAACTGGGTTGGTATGTACAAGGCAAGAGCCCTGTACTACCACTTTGGCTCTTTTATTTAAAAAATTATTCTGTTTTAGATCTTCTGACCCTGTGACTTAGATCATGACTTTGGTAGGATATTGCCTGAGCCTTGCTGTTCTCCACTCTTGCCCAGACCTAGTCACCTGTCCTGACTGAGGTTCCCCAAATTGCAATATTTCTTTACAATAGAGACTCAGTAACAAATGACACTTGACTATGATCTGTTTACTCAGCCTTCTTCCCTTCCTTCCCACCCCTTTCCTCCTCCTCTCCCCTCCCCTTCCTTTCCCTTCTGCTTCCCTCCCTTTTCTTCCCCTCCCCTTCCTTTCTTTATCTTTTCTCTCCTTCTCTCTTCCCCTCCCATCTTCTCTCCTCTCCCTCTGTCTCCCTGCCGTTTGTCTGTCTCTCTTTAGGGGACCTAAGCTGAAAACCAGGTCTTATACATGCATCACACGTGCAGCACAACTATTCTACTGTTCTTCAGATGACCTACATCCCCAGCCCTGTTTTCTCTATTCTAATTCAGTTTAATCTAATAAAGTTAGCCCAGTGATATCTTAATTTCATGAGTAAAAACTATTTCACAGGGGCTGGAGACATAGTAAAGGGGTTTAAAGAGGTTTAAGCACTTGCCTTACACATGGCTGACCCAGGCTCCACCCCAGCTCCACATACGGTCCCTTAAGCCCAGTCAGAAGTCCTTCCTGAGCACAAAACCCCAAGCACTGACAAGTGTAATCCAAGGAAGTGAAAAAAGAAAACAAATATATTTTGCTTTTTGTTCGATCTATGGTCTACTTTCAGCATGCATCTCTCATCCCAAGCGGGTCCTGCAACCACACTTTACTTGGCGTTTCCTTCTCTATTTGAGCTGCCTTTTCCTCCAGCATGTGAGGCCAGCTTCCAAGCCATGGAGCAAACCTCTTGGTACTCTTGGGTGCTAGTCTCCTATTCTGTTACTTTATATTCCACAGATGGCCACTCAATACCTTTATTGCAAACCACAACACCCAAAAGGAAAGAAAGAAAAAAAAGAGAATGCCCTGCCACAGAGGTGGCCGGGGGGGGGGGGGGGTGGGGTGGGATGGGGGGGGGAGGATGAGGTGGGGGGATGGGAGGGATACAGGGATCATCGATGGTGAAGAATGGGCACTGGTGGAGGAATGGGTGCTTGAGCATTGTATAACTGAAACACAAGCACGAAAGTTTGTAAGTCTGTAACTACCTCACGGTGATTCACTAATAAAAAAATTAAAACCAAAACCAAAACCAAAACAAAAGATATTTTGCTTTTTGTGTTTTTTTGGTGATGGTTTTTTGGGGGGTGAGGTACACCCTGAAGGTTCTCTGGAGCTTGGGACTCTTGGGGTGCTGGTGATTTAACTTGGTGCTCCTGCATGTAAATTATGTACTTAAGTCCTTTGAGTTATATCCCAGCCTGAACTATTTTGAATGTTAGTCAAAAGTCTTAGACAAAGATTTACTCAGTTTGTTAATGTGAAGAATCCAACATCTGTTGACCACTATTGATAACAAAACTTCTATTCAATAAAAAAATATTTAGGCAATTTCCTTTTAGTTTCTTCTGAATTTATTTTGTGAGAGGCAAATTGGTTTTAATTGATATTACTATTACTAACACAGTTAGCTTCCAGATGCTTAATATTTTTTCTCATAGTGGAATGGAATAATTTAGCATTTTTATAGGGACAGCTGCATGCTCTTTACTAATTAATATCTTTAGATGAGTGGTAATCATTTCATCAAGAGGATGATATTTATATCACCTAATTATAGCAGAGAGTGGTCTCCGCATGGTGGTGGCTGGTTCTGGAGGTCTTTGGCTGCCGGAGCCCTGGTCGGGGCGGGGAGGGAAACTCAACCCGCTCCCTCCAAGGGAGGGACAGCCAGGCGCGGGGACAGGAGACTCTGCGCTGTTCTCTTCCGGGAGCTGGGTTTTATAGTCTCTGTGTCTTGGCCATTGATAGGATTACACGGCGCCAGGGGGCCAGTTGGTGGGTGTGAGCCCTGCCTACTGGAATATGGAGGATCTGGGTGGAGGATGCTCAGCCCCGATCCCAGCAGGCTTGGAGATCTCAGCCCCAGGACCCGCAATGCCTGTGTTTCTCTGCCGGTACCTTCATGCCTGTGGAGAGTGGTCTCAGCATGGTGGTGGTTGGTTCTGGAGGTCTTCAGCTGCCGGAGCCCTGGTTGGGGCAGAGAGGGAAACTCAACCCGCTCCCTCCAAGGGGCCCCCTGCGAGGACAGCCAGGCGCGGTGGCAGGATACTCCACACGCATGAAGGTACCGGCAGAGGAACACAGGCATGCGGGTCCTGGGGCTGAGATCTCCAAGCCTCCTCGGATCGGGGCTGAGCATCCTCCAACCAGATCCTCCATATTCCAGTAGACAGGGGTCACACCCACCAACTGGCCCCCTGGCGCCGTGTAATCCCATCAATGGCCAAGATACAGAGACTATAAAACCCAGCTCCTGGAAGCGCGCGGCCATATTCGCGGCCACGCAACATCTTATTATCTCATTCTTACTTTGGACAAAATGGCAAGCTACCGAATGTAACCTGCCCACACGACAGAGTCTGGCAAACTCCCCGTGGTGTACCCAGTATACCAAATACCAGTAACAATAATGGGTCTCATTCTCCTAATCCTGAAAAACAGCCTTTAATATGGCACTTTTTAAAAAATCTCAGGGCTAGGATGAAAGAGATGTTACTGGGGCCTTAATCACTTAATCACTTAACTTCCTGTTAGTCATCGATTTGCTCGAGCGGGCGCCAGTAACGTCTCCATTTGTCCCTGTTGCGTGCTAGTGTAGCCCAATGGCATCTGTTCGCTCTGGGAACATGAAGAGCCTCAAACTGATCATTCATGATCTTGACGAAGAAGTCTGACCATCTAATAGGTGGGCAGCCATGCGGTCTTTTGACATCCCGTGGAATCCAGTCAGTAACAGCTCTAGTCCAGCGGTCGACTTTAAATTTCATTACGTGACCAGCCCATCTGATTTTTGACACCTTGGCAAATGAGACAGCGTCCCTGATTCTTGATCGTCGACAGATGTTGGAACTCCGGATTTTTTCTCTCATTTGAGTGAAATGTGATATTCCAAGCATAGCTCTTTCTATTCTTCTTTGGGAGACCTGAATAGCGTTCTCATCCTGTTTGCTTAGGGCCCAGGTCTCTGAGGCATATGTTAATGCAGGAAGAAGAGTGGAATCAAAGAGATGTGCCCGGAGCCAGAGGTTCTTCATCCTCTTAGCTATTTCTTCGAAGTTCTTGAAGGCATTCCAAGTCGCTCTCTTCCTCCTGCGCAGCTCAGGTGCCAGGTCATTTGTCATGTTGACTTCTCGACCTAGGTACACATAGCTGTTGCATTCGGAGATGGTCGTTCCGTTGAGAGTGAACGGGGAGTCAGGAACGAGGCTGTTTCTCATAAATATTGTCTTCATAAGATTCAGCTGTAGTCCTACCTTTCCACACTCACGGTCAAAGTCGGCCAGCATTTGTGCCGCTTGGCTGATGTTTGGTGTTATTAAAACAATGTCATCAGCAAAGTGGAGGTGGTGTAATTGCCGACCATCTATCTTAACTCCCACTCCTTCCCATTCCAGTCGTCGCATGATGTTCTCGAGGGTGGCACTGAAGAGTTTCGGTGAAATGGTATCATCCCGCCAAACCCCTCTCTTGACATCAACGATCACTTCTTTGTAGAATGGTGAGATCCTGGTAGTGAATCCGCAATACAGCTCACGGAGGATCTTTATGTATTGGGCTTGAATGCCCTGATTGGCTAGGGCTTCAATGACCGCTTCCACCTCATCAGAATCAAAGGCCTTCTTTAAATCAATGAACTTTAAACAGAGCGGCATCTCGAACTCCCGAGAAACCTCAATGAGTTTGGTTATCGTGTGGATATGGTCGATGGTGCTGAATCCTTTGCGGAACCCGGCTTGCTCACATGGTTGTCCTTCATCTAGTGTTCTGCCAATCCTATTTAGGATGACTCAAGCTAACAACTTGTAGATGACAGACAATAGGCAGATCGGGCAATAGTTGCCAATGTCATGGATGTCTCCCTTCTTAAACAGTAGTACGGTCCTGCTGGTTTTCCATTGGGATGGAACCTTGCATTCAGACAGGTAGCGAGTGAAGAGCCGAGCCAGTGTATTGATGAGTACTGATGGCAGGTTCTTCAGGTGTTCAGGTCTGACCTTGTCTGGGAGGGGTGCTGTTTGTTTCTTTACTGACGAAATGGCGTGTCGGATTTCAGAAGGGAGAACGTTGGGAACGACATATCCATCCTGTGGAATTTGGTATGTCGGTAAGTGGACACGGCTATCGAAGAGATTTGAGTAGAAGTCATGGATAATCTTCTCCATTGCCGTTCTGGAGGATGTGATGGATCCATCAGGACGTCGGAGGGCAGTCATCTTGGTCTTGTAGTTGGCGAAGGACAGGCAGGCGTAACGAATACTTTTCCCAGCTTCTGCCGCATCTACCAGCACTTCTGCTCTTCTCTCTTTGAGGTCTTCCTTGATCGCATCTCTGCAGTGCTTTGCGAGCTCCTACGTTAGCTTGCGGTTGCCTGAGGCATGCGTCAAACCACGCTGGCGAATTAGCTCAAGAGTTTTTGAAGACAGGCGTTTTTGTGTGACTATCTCTCTCTTGGCGTTCCTCGCACATTCATGGAGGTGCTGAACCAGTCGATCGTATTCCTCGTCAATGTTGTCTGGTAACACCTACAAGGGTGATTAGAG